GGGAAAGAGAGAGAAAGCACATCAGCAGGGAAGTGCAAATCACTTATCCAGTCACACTTTCTGAAAATATGAATCATTTGAAATTTCATGTGATTTAGTTCAGAAAGTTCTCATGAAGCCATTACTTTACATAAGTCAAGAGAAAACAAAAACAAAAAAATCTTAAGATTCTGGGATCCTTAATTACTTATGATCAGGGCTCGACAAATCCGCTTATCTACTCGCCCGTGGCAAGTAGATTTCAGCCGGTCGCCCCATTCACCGGCAGTGCATACATGTGCAGTGCGGGTGTGGCGCGTGCGCGGTGCTGAGCTGGTGAGTGTGTTTTCACCACAGTCGTCGAGCCCTGCTTATGATGTTATACCAAAGGATAGCTGCTACAATTTACATTCAATTGAGAGTAAACATTTAAAATTACACCTGCTGCATGAAGAAGCCATACTTGTTAATGATATGTGAATGTCACTGGTGAACTTCATTTTTAAAGTGTTCCTAAAAGGACTCAGGTCTGACCTTTTCAGGCTCTTAATATAACTTATTTACCATAGTTCTCTCTCCCCTACCATCCCCCCATTTGTTGTACTGCAACTTTTACTACTCTCAAAAGATTATACAGTACTCCAAAATATTTAACAAAGAACACTGGTTTCTGTTGAGCAGTGTTGACATTATATTTTGGATTATATATTTCATTATAACATTTGTGCTAGATTAATATTTTTAGGATAGCATACAAAAGGGATAGACTTAAGGAGGGATACATACTTCGATTTCTGGGGGAAAGTTGTCATTTAAAACAAACGAAACAAATAAACACCACACAAAAATTCCAGTTGAGAAGTGGAACAGAAAACTGTAAACTTTCAAGGCTGTTCAGTGTACAGTAGCTAAGGATACACCCAACGTCCATGGACCTCCATAAACATCTATTGAGCATCTCACTCACTGCATGTTGAAGAAATTTGCTACAAAGCATGAGCTAGATCTCAAAATTGTTCAACAGTCACCTTTCCAACACCACTCTTCCTCCCTCCTCCCCCCGGAGTTAAGTTCTGTGATGCAGGAATCCACATATATGCATTTAAGACAGTAAGCACTGACGTATTATCTTCCAGAAAAGTTTGTGACAATTTTCACTTTTTAAAGAAACATGGCACAGGACAATCAGACTTTGGGGAAGAAGAATAAAACCAACAAAGTTCATTGGATTCTTTTTGTAGCTGGACCACCTTCAAAAGACAAGCCCCACTTCCACTCACATTGTGATCACTGTTTGATTTATTGCAAGATTTAAGAAAAACACTTGGGCGATTTAAGATAAACTGCTTACCAGGATAATCACAGTAGTGGATCCGTCTCTTCTCCAGGTCTGGGTTACTCCTTCTGTTGTATCTGACTGTCTGGATGTTCTGTGAATGTATTGGCATGGCCACTGGTAAATTAGGATTTTGGATTGCCATCTTGGAAGCGATAGTCGCAGCATAGGATGGAGGAGGGGTTAAATTCTGTAGCATTTCTGCTTGTCTATCTGGACTTCCGGGTTCTGAACTTGGGGGTGAAGGAGGGAAGTAAGTGGCCTGTGGCTGAAGAAACTGATTTGGCATTGTGTAGGTGCATTGGGGGATTCCCTGGAATTGTTTCATTGTAGTCTGTGGAATAGCAGAGGAGTGAGTGTTAAGGCCTGCCATAGCTGATGGCATGGAAACATTGTTAAGAGAGTCCATTACTGCCGCCTGGGTAGTAGAATTGGGCATATCTAAATCCGGTGAGCTCAAGAGCTGATATAACTGGCCCTGCTGGGGTGTGACAGAAAGATGAATATCTGGAGTAGGAAGCTCTTGCTTGATGAAAATGTTGTTCACATCAGGAGTTTGGTGAGAGCTGAAGATACTGGTAAACTCTGGGAGAGCCTGGGTGGAGGCAGTAGCTTCACTCTGCTGATTGAAGATGGTAACTGGTTCTGTCTTGATGTGGGTTACACATGGTCTCTGGGATTTGTAGAGGCCAGTTCTCAGGTGAGTAATGTCAGGAAGGAAGACATTCATGTTGATACTATAAGGCAACCCTTCACTGTCAGTGAAGAACTGGTCTACAACTGAGGCACTGTCTCTTCTGTATTTTTTATGTTCAGGGATGACAGGAACCGGTGGAAGCTGATGTGTCAGATATTTCTCCATTTCACATCTTGTCTAAACAGAAAAAGAAAACAAAAAAATTCATGATTCGTTACCAATCCAGAGAAAGATGGGGCGCCAAATACTCCTTTACTGGAATAGCTAAGTAAATCTCATCTCTTCAAATAGTTAAAATAATGAACCAAAGCATATCCATTATAAAAGCAGGGTTATTTTACTCAGACACCTCACCAAGAACAAGAGTCAGGCTGACCAACGTTTATGTAGAACAAGAGTAAAATATTTTTAAAGTATATCATTTAAAATACTTCATCAGAATATTTGCAATAAGAAAATGTTACATATCAAAATCTGTATATGTAATTCATTTCTACAGTTATTTCTCGAATATTTCACCATTCTTTTTATAATTAGTTCACACACTTTTCTTTGAAATGTTAATTGCAAAAGCCATGCTTTCATCTGACTACTTCAAAGCTATATTTCAAATAATATATATTCATACTTTTGGAATTTTAGAATCTACATTAAGAGCTACAAAGTCTATAATCTGTCAAAAATGTGTTAACTATGTTCCTACTCATGTCACAATTCTCAAAGATCTTTAGTTCCTACCATGGAAATCAGTCCCTTAGTGCAGTAGTGGTAGGAATCTGTGGGTGGCGAAAGTCTGATGCATTACTGGTACAGTCATCAGTAAAGCATTTATCATGTACTCTCCAATGGGCAAATGTTACATTCCCTCTTACCCTGTAAGAAGTCCAGTCATGCCAAATCCCGTTAACCCCCCCCCCAAAAGAAAGCATCTGACAAATAGAAAGAAAAGTCTGCTAAAAAATGTAATTCAAGAGCTTCTGAAAGACGACCAAACACACACAAGACACACCACACACACAACGCCTGCTTTGATCTAGAACTGTCCTTAGCGTGCTAAGCTACTTTTTCCAGCTCTTGTTTACAAGCCAAGGCCAGTTTGCTTTGAAGACAGAAACATGTAGTCTTTGAAGAGAGATACGCTGAGCCACAAGCACTGCAATACATCCCACTAATATTCACTGCCTTGCTTATCAATTCTCGGCAGCAGAATTCTTCCTTAACCTTGGTAACCCTGCGGCTTAGGGATTGGGCGACTCGGGCTGAGATCCCGGGCCAGCGCCCCCGCCTAAATACACCTTGGAAGGTGCCTGTGCAGAGGTTTGTCACACGGCTCTGGAGCTCCCAGGCCTGCCTGTTCCGTTTATATAATGCCACTTGTGCCACGCGAGGCTGCTCACTAGAATAAACCGCAAACGAAACTATTCAGTGAAAGAGTCCAGCGCTGGAAATAGCCTCAAACTAAGCCCGCTCCTGCGCTAAAACCAGGCTGCGGTTGGCGCTGGCTGATTTTAGCTCTTCCAGCTGTTTGCATGTGGCTCTGTTGCCAAACAGTTATTCCGTTTATATAATGCCACTTGTGCCACGCGAGGCTGCTCACTAGAATAAACCGCAAACGAAACTATTCAGTGAAAGAGTCCAGCGCTGGAAATAGCCTCAAACTAAGCCCGCTCCTGCGCTAAAACCAGGCTGCGGTTGGCGCTGGCTGATTTTAGCTCTTCCAGCTGTTTGCATGTGGCTCTGTTGCCAAACAGTTATCTGGGACACTCAGAAAGTCCCGAGAAGTCTCTGCAGCCCCCCCCCT